TTAGGATTTAGGATTTGGGGCTTAGGATTTAGGATCTAGGATTTAGGATTTAGGATTTAGGATTTAGGGTTTAGGGTTTAGGATTTAGGATTTAGGATTTAGGATTTAGGGTGTGGGGTTTAGGGTTTGGGGTTTGGTGTTTAGGGTTTGGGGGTGCCTTGAAAGTATGAGTAGGTACCTCTATAGGAACCATAATGGAAATTAACAGTTTCCCAAAGTGCCACCTAGGTTCTTGATGTGGGTGTGCATTGTGGTTACCATGCTTACATCGGGAGGTGACGAGGCATTCTGACCGTTCTTGCCGTTTAGCAGAAAGACACAGGGATGCTGCTTGAGGATACCTGGAGTCAACGAGACCCACAGGTTCACGACACCTGGATCTTGTGCATGCACAATCCTCACATAGTCCTCAAAGCCGTAGCCCCTTTCCACGAAGTCTTGCTGTGAGAAGGGCCAGTGCGCATGGACCGTTGCCCTGATCGCTTCCTCCATTGTCGAGGTCTCCGTAAGCCGGGCGATACCACTCCACAGCTTATCCACGTGAACCACATGGTGCGCATTACGCAACGTGGAGCTCCCGGTGTCTCGCACGGTGGCTTCGCCGTAGACGGCTCCACCAGAGACGCGCGAGGTGTCGGCGAGGTGGATGATTTCTCTGCCGAACCTTGTCTCGAGGAAGCTGAGCATTGCTTGGCCTGGATAAGGGGACACGGGAGAAACACGTCTAAGCACTGAAAGTATAATGTAAGGGGCCTAGAAATTATAAGAACTAAAATAGTATATATATATATATATATATATATATTACCCACTATATAAATATCATTATGACCCCGGTTGCCCGGCCTACCGCCATGCGGGTCTCATGCTTGGCCACGGAGGCACTTTCTGGGCGAACGCCATTTTCCTTTAGAAAATCAGCGATATCCACAACCTCGACGCCGTCGGTTTGCAGTGTCGAGCTGGGCGGGATTGGAAAAACGTTCAGCTGGACCTGTTTCAGGGTTACCTATAGTCTCCATTGTAGTTCCTTTTGGGGGTTCATATTTAGAATCCAATAAGGTAATCCCAAAAAGGAACTATGGGGCCCATGGGTAGTTTGGGGTTTTAGGCTTCAGGCTGTAGGGGATCAGGGATTTGAGGATTTGGGTCTCAGAACTTGCTGGGTCTAGGTCCTAAGTTCAGGTCGCGCAAGTTATGTTCGTAACAAGTGAATCGACTACATGAAATTAGAGCTCGACATGCCTTGTCAATTCTTGCGGCTTCGACTATCATGAGGTTACTGAATCTGAAACTCATCCGTTTATGACTTTGAGAATACCCCAACCCCGATCAAAGCCAAAATACCCTGAAGACCTCAAGCCGTAGGCCTTGCGGCCTAAACCCTAAACCCTAAACCGTTTTTTACCCTAAACCCTAAACCCTAAACCCTGAACCTGCACCAGAAGGTCCCAGATCCGTACCATCCCCTTCTCTGCGCAGCACGGCTTGCCGCTGATTTGGGCTGCAGTTATGGAAATTGCACAGGGGACTGGCACAAAGATTATGTTTAGGGTCTGGGGTTCAGGGCTTTAGGGTTTATGAGTTTAGGGTTTAGAAGTAAATTTGCAATTCGGTATCCTAAATTAAGACTATGACTGTCCTAGTTCTATGATATTATAACCCTACTTCACACCTACTTAAAGGACGTTGTCGATCCTGTAAGTAGCTTGAAGTAGTATCCTGCCTGCGTCAAGCTGTCCGGATTCACCGCAAAACCTTGCCGTTGACCCTGGCTGATCGAGTCCCCGAGGTCGCCAAAGGGAACATCTGCTTTCCTCATTGCGTTCCGGCTGTGACACACGGCTGTTTGGGGGTTTCGGGCACTCCTTCATACACATCACACACTGGGTTTTACCGATGCTTATGACACTGACGGTCAGGTGAAAGCAAGTTGAACAGCAAGGAAGGAATCGGCAACGAAAAACATTTTTTTCCCAAAGCCATGCCGAGTTCAAAAACCGCGCCGTTGCAGGAATTCCTGCCTGCTGGACTCCGCCGCGCGACCTTTGCACACTCTTTGAAGGCGCTTAGGGCGAAACTCTTTGTGTATCTCTGTGTTTCCCAAAGGCTCCATGTACCCATATAGCATATTATATACTTAGGTCTCAAAGGGGTTCCTATACAGGCATTTAAAGATCTATGTTTATACCATATAGGCACATGGAGCCTGAAGGACAGGTAGGGATTAACATTACAGCAATAAAACCTTAATATACTACACAGTTAACCTAACTCGCCTTACCCATTCTCCCACACGCCCAGTGCATTACGTGGTGCGTTGCTATACATAACGAAAACCTCGTGGCACCAACAACTCAATAACTCAGTAAGCCATCAACCTCCAAGTAGGAGGCTACTGTCCTGGCCTCATCTTCACCTTCAGCTGCCAAAACCTACTTTTTTGTAGGGTCTCTATAAATTCTATATTGGTGTTTATAATAAGAACCTACAACAAAAATAGGTTCGGGTAGTCTAAGGCAACTGAGTGGCAGCTGGAACAGAGACGAAGAGAAGAGCAGTGCAACCAAAGTACATGCCTGGGTCTCCGATCCCCGGGCTTAGGCAGATTAATATGGGGATCCGGGCTCAGGCAGATTTAGGGTTTAGGGTTTAGGGTTTAGGGTTTAGGGGATTAATATGGGGATGAGTTCTTTGTTTAGCTCCATTTCCCCAAGGGGTTCGGGTTCAATCAAGGAAGGATGGAAGGACGCAGGTAAGGCAGGAAGGAAGGAAGGAACACAGATTCCTCTCTGGTGTCCCTTTTAATACCACTAATACCAGGAAAATAAATCAAGTCAAAGCGATATTCCTGATATTGACCAAGTTTCGGGCATGACAGCTTCACGCGGACTCATCCGGAAGCTGATTGACTCGCTCGGGCATCACTCGACGGATGAGAAATTCCGTTTGTAAGGACATACGAAGGGCTAGCCACAGGGCCTTAAGCAACCTAAGGACTAGCATTTATCATCTAAAGGCCCCTATATTGTCGTGAAGGATCAACAGCACTTACAGACACTGCTGCAACTATCAAGCATCATGCCAGCGATGATTTCAACACTGTGCAGCATCGCTATAACAACACGGCAGCAACCGCCAACAGGAGGAACACCTTAGCAAACAAAGGACAAGGAACGATACCGACACCAATGGCGACCTCAATTCCTCCCCAGACTATTCGTGCTTTATAAACATACCGCTCGGGCATTTATGGTTTAGGATTTAGGGCAGCGGGGCGTGGTTGTGTTTGCAGAACAACCGAGCATGCTAACAACCCGAAAACTTGAACTGCAAACCCAGATCACCAACAACCGGACAACTGCACAGCCGAAAATCCAACTGGAGAACTCGTAAAGCCCGAGAGAACAAACTTGCAGCCAGCTTGTACACGAAATAACCATTTAAGCAGAATCTCCCCTCCCCCACAAACATGTAAACACACACATCAAGCATGTCAAAACCGTAATGTAAAACTCATAGTATGATAATAAGAAACGCCCGAACACCTGAACCCGAAAAGCCTTCCAAACAAAAAGCAAGTTAACGCCCTCAAACCGTCTGAAAAAATGACTGGGTTCTTACATGGCCTAGAATCCTAGAACCTCCGTCTACCCTCGACTGTAAGGAGGGTCCCGGGGGGATTGCAGAAAGCTTCGACAAACACGCTTCGACCGCAACAGCGGAACTGGCAGTTCGGGAAATGGTTGTACAAGGGCCTTGCTTAGAACAGAGCTGTGAGCTGCACATCGGGACTTTGAAGGGGAACTACTGCTATCTATTACTTCCCCGTCTGGCGTGTGAAATAGTCGTGGTGGTGGTTGTGGTGGTGACAGTGCGCCACTCGTCGCTGCCTCCCTGGATTAAAAGTTCTGTTGCGAAAAACTTCGAGTCAGGCAAGACTGACGTAAAAAGAAGCGGTCGTGTAGTTCTTGTCCAGAACATGAACCTTTATATAGAGCGCCGAAATTGCAGGAACAATGAAACCACACACACACACACACACACACACACACAAACATCGTACTGCACCGGAGTGCAACAGTAATAGGCTCCCTTGCACAAAGGCACAGAAATCAGGCGCCGCGTGGTGCTAAGAAACCACCAACTGATTTGGCCTAAACCCCAAACCCTAAACCCCAAGGTG